GATTTAAGAATAAAACTTGTGCACTGTGGTAGAGTGTAATTCCATTATGGGTAAATTTTGTTTTGATAAAGTCTCACAGTGTTATACAGTAATGTTTACTGATGACGTTTCGAGCACAATTTATTGCTCGTAATCATATCATATCACCTTGATATGGTATCTGAAGACTTATGTTTCTTTTCTGTAGCGGCAGCTTGAGCACACCCTTTGTTTCCTCATGGAAATTCTGATCTCCAGAAATGTGAAATGTCTTATTCGACAGACTATCCTTTATTTTTTGAAGACCGAAGATTCTTGAACCATATAATTAAGCGAAGGTTTTTTATAAGCTGGATACTGTTTGCTGTAGGAATCCAAAACAGGCTTATCACGCACAATTATTTAGACGTTTAATCGTGAGCTCTTTCATTAATATTTACGAGATAAATCATGAATACAGAGAATTTCAGTCACACTAAGTAGCACTTAAGTATCTCACTCAGTTTTATTTAAACTTTATGCATATTCATAGAGTGAATTTTTAGAAAAACTAGTAATATTCTCCTTGTCCAAATGTTCCATAGATCCTATTAGGTGATTATAACCCGTAATGTCACCAACATCAGTTGAAAGACTGCCAAACATGCTTTTTATTTTTTTTACTACAACATTTTTCGTACATTTTCTGATAAAGATTTAATCACCATAATTCAAGTTGAACATGTTTTAGCAAGAGACTGTGTTTGGAACAAACATAAGACAAAATGAAAAGCCAGTGAATAGGGAAAATACTTATTACATAGGCAGATTATAATTTGCATCTTGTGGATTTGACACTATTTCGCTATCGGTCATAAGAATTGTGTAAAATTGATTGAGGCCATTTGGGTGCCAAAAATGCCATTGATGTGACCTAACATCATTCAAGTGTTTCGACGAAAGTCAGCCAAAAAGTGGACTTGCCATTAATATTAGTGCTTTAAAATGTTGCTACTAATTATTATTATTTTATTATTATTATTCCACTGGCTTCCGAATGGAACTTAGGCCACCAACAACACATCTCCGTTTTCTTCTATTTCCTGCCATCCTCTACAGCTGGGTTCACGAGTGACCACAATCTATCACCTCATCCCCCTCCAACTCACACGATCTCCTACATGTCATCCTCGCACCAACGACCCACACCTCGATTCCCATTCAACATCCACTCCAACGATGGCCTGCATTGAGCGCTATGCCATTCGACGCTGCCCTCAACATACGCCCCATCCATCTCCATTTTCTCCTACATATTTGCTGAGTGATCGGCTCTCGAATGGATTGTTCCCAGTCAGAGTCTCTTGTTACTCATTCTTTCTGGCCGGCCGACCGGCCAGCTGACCATTTGTGTTGAAAATCTAAATCCGGTTCTCTATGCTGGCTGAGTGAGTGCAGAAGACTTTCAAACTGGTTTCGAGTTGATGAAGGCGCATATTGTCTTTACGATTCTAGCTGGCGGGCTGGATTTGACATCTCCATCTTTTTCGACTGCCTGTGGTAGAAACGATGATTCATAGCCAGATAAGTGAAGGAAGTAACCTCCTTCAAACTCTTTCTCTCGTTGATGGTGATTGGTGCTTATTGTTGTTGTTGTTGCTGTTGGTGGTAGTGGTGGTCGGTTATCTTCATCACCTCCATCTCCACCTTCTCTATGTTCACCTGCAGTCGTGTCTTTGCTGCCTGACACTTACGTCAGTTTGTTGCTAGTTCTCGCCTGCCTCTAAGTCTTCGAGTTTGTGTGACACTAGACACAAATAATCCAGGCACGAAATCCAGATCTTCTAGAGCCTTCTGATAGGTCAGTGAGGCGTATTCCTGTCTTCTCACTAACTTACACCCAACATAGTCTGACGCAATTAGGTGATAATAGGCAGCCAGCCAACCAGCCAGACAGCTTCTCTTCCTCCTGCATTCACTTCAAACGACAAGCTGAGTTTTCAGTTTTGGATCTCCTGTCACGTGGTATTGTCACACAGCCAACCAGCTGTTGAATGAAGCTGATAAAGACTTACACAGTGTTGAAGTAGTATCCGAATAACTTCTCGGTCAACGCTGTTTGTCGAAAGCCTTTTCGAAGTCGATGAAGTTGATGTAGAGGTTTGATTGCCATTCTATGCTTTGTTTTATGATGACGATACGTACAGTTACAATATGGTCAACACATGATTTGCCTTGTGTCCAGCAGGCTGGCTTCGTCACCAATTCATTAAGCAGCACTGACATGAAGTCTATCTGGTTTGTGTGTGTCCGTCAGGCTGGCCTTGTGTATATCCTTGTGCTTGTACTCGCTGTCTCCGATCATCAGATCACTGAAAGAGCAGAAGTCTGTGAAGAGTTTTCCGTTCCCATTCAGTTCACCGAACGAGAGACTCTCGACCCATGATGAGTCGTTCTCTCCCTGCATTATCTGCTCCCAGTTCAATTGGCATTCATATCGCCCATGAGGATTTTGATGTCACCACTCGAGATACTGTCGAACACTGTTTGCATTTGTCTAGAGAAATCTTTCCTCTCCGAGTTGTTTGTAGCACTGTGTGCAGCATTGTACGATTGTAACCTTCCTTCTTTCATTACTTCCCTCTTTCCCCAATTACTTCCCTCACTCCCTACCTCCTTTTCAGTTGAATATTCGAGTCATGATCCTGCAAGTGGAAATTGGTTCCCACTGCATTAGGGCTTTGTCTGCCACTGGTGACATCATGATATTCACTCACCGCTTCAGTATGCTGGTGGTTGTCATCTGAGTGGGTGACCGGCGTAGATTACTGACTCACCAGTTGACAATTTCGACAGTTCACATCCATTCCATCTGCCCTCACAGATTCCCACCACTTCTATACCATATCTTCTCATCTCTCTAACTAACTGGGCAGCCTTCCCATCCAGCCTCGTACATTGTACGTACATTCCACGTTCGCATTCTTATTCTTGCTTTCATCGGTGAAATATACATTGGTTGGCTGACTGGCTTCACGAAGTCTGGTGTTCACCAGCCATCCTGTTGTATCATTTCGCCTCTCTGATATCAGTGGAGTAATTTTGTTATTTGAATTTCTCGCATTTTTAATATTTTTCTTGCGCATTGAAGTTTGTGTAGGAGTTTGATTGATTTTGTGGTATAGGGTTGCTAGCCCCACACCCAACTCTCCCTCTTTCCTCGGGCTTGTGACTGGTTAGAAAACTAGCGAGCCAGTAAACTAGGCGAGGTTAATGTTTTCGCTTAATGAAAAATTAAAAAACAGTATTTCTATTGTATGAGAATGTGGATGGGTGGTGTGAGGCACTATTTAACAGTAACAAAGCGAATTCAACAAAGAAAATCATCTATTCTTGGCTGTTAGACAATAATAAATTAGTGATTCTATTTACTCCAGCAACTTGTCACGCTTGATACGAAAAGCATTTCCAACAGCCTTCTGTAGACTCTCATCAAAACCTGCCATCTCTTGATACTGAATACTAGATGGTAGATGAGAAAGGATAGATAAACAAGGATCTCTGGCGGTAGAGTTACCCAGCTAACAGTCTATAGCTCAGTTAACAGATATGCCGAAAGAAATGACGATGGAGTGGAAAACACCAAGGGGACCACTGAGTGACTTTCAATGCCAGAAACTCGAATGGGAAACGATGAGTGGAGTATGGGTCCTCGAGGGAGAAATCGTTGAACTACCTAAGAAGGACAGCGGCGAATAGGGAGAAATGTAGATGTGCTGCTGAACGCCTGTGTTCCACACAGAACCCAAAGGAGTAATAAAAATAATTTAATTGATTGTGCGAATCACTTTGATTGTTTACTTGATCTACTAGTCGTCTCTCCCTTTTGATATCACCAAATTATTTCATCAGTAATGTCAACTTTGTTTGTCTAATTTCACCCATCATTACGTTTTGACATATTTTGACTGTCTAGTAGAAATCATAACAATAAGTTGCAGTGTCATGCTTTACTTTCTTACTATTATTGTTATTATTATTGGCAGCAGTCATAGTAGTAGTAGTAGTGTTCAATATTCAGCGATGCCATCAGTGCGATAATTAATTACTCATGTTATTTACTGCTCAGTGATACATTTATCATCATATACAAATGTAAGTAGACATTGAGTATATATCGCTTCCATATGTATTGATATATATATATATTTACTGCGAATCATGTAACAGAACAGACAGATGAACACTGACCAAATTTGTGAGAATAGCAAGTTCGAGATAACAATTAGTCATAGTATAATTTTAGAGTGCTTAATGCAAATTGTTCTCGTGAGAATGATAACGTATGCAGCTGTCTATATTCCTAAGTGTACTAATCAGGATATTTTGGTCAAACATACTATGCAGACAATCAGATAAATGACGTGATAATATTTTTGCTCTGGTGGTTTATTATGACTCGATATTATTATTAAGAGGAACTATTCGACTGCGAATCATAATTTGAATTTATATCGCTGAATTTTTTTTATTCCTTTACGTTCCCAGTGGAACATGGGGCTTCAGGCTTGAAGTTTCGGTGGCAGTGGTGTTTATTATTACGGGATAGGGCTGCTAACTTCATGCCCAACCTTCCCTCTTCGGTAGTCTTATTACTGGTTAAATGAGGTAAAGGAGAGCGTCAGCCGGGAATCGAACCCCGGACCACATGGGTGGTTGGCGAGGATTCTGCGACTGTGCCACTAAAGCACTCACTGACTTTAGCATTGTGCTTTCCAAGCTACACCACTGACTAGATCATACATGTGGAGTTAAATTGAAACTTGTTCACTATTTTCATAGTCTCTGAAAGGTTCTTTTAATAAATAGGCTACTGAAAACAAGAAAACAAATCAATTAAACAACAATTTTGTCAACGTTTATTTCATTACTGTTCGTTGTTGTATAAAAATTAATAAGATAATGTTCTCTAGCAAAAAAGACACTTCATAACACCTCTATAATATATCTGAATAATACTCAAATTGTTTTACTTCTTTTAGGTGTCATTTTGATCGTATATTTGGGATTAGTGTCAGTAAATTTATTCCCAACCAATACAGATCTTACTTTACGTTATCGATCTAAGCGGTGGGCATACTATGAAGTACATAAATGTGGTCGAATAAAAGGCTACAGTTGTCTAGAGCATCGTCATTGTTATGAACGTTATCTACGCCGTGATATGGTTTGTTTCGAAGTTTATCCATGCTTGAGTTCATGTATATTTATTGCTCAGGTAAGTAAATAAATGAGTATTTTGACTGGTGTTTTTTAAATCAGATCTTTCATCCATTTTCTTTTTCTGGCTTTCTAATCAGTCTTAGCATACATGTTCAGCACTGTTATCATTCATTCCTTGGTACTCAGCAGAGCACCTTCTCTTCACTTCGTTCTGGCTCCATTAATTATGACAAGCTTTTGCTTTTCTTCACATTATATCCTCCATATCACACTTAAGTTCTCAACATGTGAAATGAAAATACTCCCGAGTAATTCATTTCACTTAGATTTTCCATCAGACTGACTGATGTCATTCCATATATCACATAGTGTAACGACAGAAGACCAGGGCCAGGCAAAGGTCGTTTATTGAGAAATCAAGAGATATTTATAGATTTTTATGTACATTATTGTCAGTGGAGAAGCAACGTCTTCTGATTGCTTGTTTTCTTGCTGAAGGTTACTCTATACTGCTTATGACAGTTTCTTATAAAGTTAAGTCATATATCTGCGAGTCGTATTTGCACACGTTAAATCTGCTGTGACTGGTTGGTGGGTTCCTCAATGTTAAGCTTTGTTATTGTCTTTTCACATGACCCCGATTTGAGACGTAAACACTGACGCAAATTGTTATCTAAAATTTTGGCATGCAGACAACTGTCACCACAATAGTACATATCCACTGGGTAACTGTCGGAACTAAAAGCATGAGACAGATTACTCCTTCTAAATCAGGATTCCTTGTAAGTCAGTAATCACTATCCATACAGGGATATACCAAGGAACGAATAGGAAAAGGTCGTATCGGTGAGTTCCTGTTGTCATCTATGAAGACAGTTGCTGTGAATTGAAAATAAGAATAAGCTGGAAGTTGGAAGCAGTTGAATTGCAGCTTAGTTTTCATATGTTTTTAAGTGTACACTTCATAGTCAGACAACAATCTGCAAAATTCTTGGTGTGCTTCTTGATTCTCAGTGATTTTGTAACCTTCGTTACTTTGTGGTTGAGCAGACTCTGGAGTAATTAGACTAATCAAAATAGCTGTGATTTGTTAGCGGATACAGAAGCTTGCAGTAACAGTTAGCAGATAGCGTGATAGATAATTTAAATGTTAACAAATTCACACCTACTTCAACTCAAGGTTGATCTCAACTTCAAGGAACAGCACTGTTTAGAAGTAATGTTATCATGAAATACTGAAGGATTCGTTACGTTAATGAATGCTGTTAGACACTTAGGCTTCAATGGTGGACACTGAATAACATCTGACCAGTCTCAGTCACAACTGTCATATACAGTTTCCGCTCAGCCATAAAATTATATCATTTTTTCTAAGAAGAAAATTATGGAAGCAGAAATCAAAACAAATGTTATCTTGGAATTACCATGACAATGCCTTCCAGCCAGCAATTAACTACCCAATCGGTAACAGACAATTCGACATATAGTGTTCCTATTTCAGCTCATTAGTAAGCGGTGTCTTCCACACCTATATGAGTAGGGCTGAAGAGTCAGAAAATAAGATGGAACTGTTCTGTCCATTACTCCCTGAACATAAGAATTGTCCAGCTTGAAACGTACGAATTAGATTCCAGTTAGAAGGCTGTGTGTCACACTCCCTGACAAAGTTCACACCAACTGAGTTTCTATCCCTCACTTGTTTGTATGACTACCTAGATGAAGTTCTCCTCATTTAATTACCTACATACAGGCTGATGAAGTGTTTCCACTCTCTGGCTTTAATGATAAGCAAAAATGCACTGTATCGCACATGTCACCGGCTTTCTTAGTACTCTTTAAGTTGTCTAGCTGCTCATATATTATGATCTGAATAATTTGAGTCTTCTAAGTAGGCCTTAGTGAAAATTTGCCTCAAATTGCAGGACTTTCAAAATAACTGTGGAATGCATGTATTCATGCTTGTGTTTCCTCCATTGACACATCTGTCCGCATTGGTCAGCTTAAGTTTGGCTTACGGAGTGCACAGACGAATGCTTCGATAACTACGATAGTTTCTGTGTGAAGATTGTCACTCACTAAGGAGTAACTACATTCAGTTGACCAGACTCAAATAAGACGACTAGACCACTACAAGACACCAGTAAACAATTAACTACATAATAGAATTTTCCAACATTCATTTTGGCTTTCGGATTGTATACTACTGAAACTATGGTTTGAGTAGCTTGTTACTGGTCTTTCAAATTCTTACATTAATCTTATTTTAAAACATTTTTAGCTATATGATTATGAGAAACTGACAAAACAAATTGAACGATTAATGCTGAATGGAGAATCTGTCAACAATCGTGACGATGCAGTGAATTTCGTTCGGGAAAAAACGAAAAAATTAGCAAGTGAATTGAATCTATCATTGCCATTGTGAGGCGCATAAATGTGTGCTGATAGAATAGTAATAAAAATTATCATTATTATTATTATTCTCAATAAAGATAATGAAGATTGTTAAGACATTTCAAAGAACCCTCTGTGATCAACAGGGAAATTCACCCCGTCTGTTTGTTTTGATTATTATGGTATACACTGGATTTGGGAATTCTATGTGAACTGAAAAAGGTGATTAGTCAACACTGCATTGATCTCTTCTCTCACTTGGTCTCCTTCTCTCTGTTTGTGTCTCTCTGGTGTCTTTTACTTTCACATTGTTTTTCATTGTCGCCTGTATTTTTGTTACTTTGCTTTCTAATTTTGAAGATAACGGACAATTACACGTCCGAATATGGTATTGCATATGCATGCGATAACCAACTCGTTATTATGATGTAAATTTTATATTGGATTAAAACTTGACTTCTTACAATTCACCTGGCCAGTGGGAGCAAGCAGTTCATAGGCCCTTTGTATGAGTATTTCTAGGTAGTGGAGAAGGGAAACAATTGTTTGTTCGCTAAATGAAACCGTTGCAACAGATCTGTTAGCTGGGACATTCCGTACTCTAGAAACAGTTGAGTCTAAAAGGCCGCGGTGGGAAATCCGCCTGTTTTTTGTTCAAAATGTTCCGGGTTTTATAGTAAATTGAAAAAGGATCTATTGCGTAGTGTTTTACCCACATAGTGTACAACATATTTACCTAGTGGAGTATCCCTAACTGTCTTCTCATAATGAACTTGATAGAAGCAATAAGAATAAGAATTATAAGGCGATTCTCTCTCGGATGAAACCACTCAGAAAATTTCTTGGACATAAAACCCAAGTTCTAGAAGTAAGTTTAGTTATCGGTCGGTGATGCATTCAGTGTGCATTCTGACAATAATTGAACTAGATTGAAACTGAATGACTTCACTACTTTAATCTCTTGAAGTAATTACTTTTGTTTTGGCTGGCTACACATTACAAGTTTGATGATGTTTGCAACTTCAAAGATATGTATTTGAATCAAACATACAAATGAAGAATGACTGAAATCGCCTAAGCATGAGATAAATTTCCAGATAAGTATACTACTTTGACATTTAGTTTCGTTCTGAGGCCTGTTCCAATGTTCGTCACTTTGACATGTTAACTGGTTTACCCATTTGACTTTTTCCATCAACAACAAGATATGAGTAATGCAGTCTACATTCATATGAAAAGGTCTGATTTATTTTCGTCCTTCCAGTTTGTCTGTAGTGCTGATAAAATAATTAAATGTTGATTAGAAATAAGGCATATTTGCTGTGGTTGACTGTAGAATGCAATAAACCTTGAGGGGAGTGGAAACAAGAATACGTTGAACCCAGAAGAAGACTATGGAAAATCTGTACTTTATGTCTGATGTCATAGGAAGTCGAAGGTGTACTGGTGAAGCCCAGCAAGTTGGAAGGACAGTTAGGCGCCGAAGACAGGTCTTCAAGTGAACATAGAGAAGGCAGAAGTGATGAAACTATCAAATCAAAAACACGCATCAGTCACCAACGATGGTGGAAATCTAACATAAGTCACCTCTTTCACCTAGGTCGGAAGCATTCTTTCAGTTGCGGATGGCATGAATGAGGATATTACAGTCATATAGGATCAGGAAAACACAACAAACCTCCATTAGTTTGAAACCAGCGTGAAGAACAAGGTTCAGATTTTCAACACTAATGTAAATTAGGCTCTTCTGTACGGTTCACTGACTTGACGCATCCAAAAAAGCATTTCCACAAGCTTTCAGAATGTCATCGACCTACTTTGAGGAGGCCACTGGCCACCAAGCGGAACCAAAATCAGCTACGACAACTTAGGCGTCCGTAGCTAACATAGAGGGAATTGTGTGAGAAGGGAATAAAAACTTATGACCAATCAAGGAGCTAGGAAGAATGGACCCGAAGGAACCAAGTGCATTGAAAATGTATCGCTGAAGCTTCATGTTCCAGTTGGGACGTAGTGAAACGAATAAAGCTAATCATTAGAACCCATAACATGAAGCTTTTTTGTCCGACGACATTGTGACAACTGCGTCGATATGTTCAATGGAGGACACTTAGTTTATAACTTCGTTGAAAAATAGGGGAGACAAAGTAGTCAAAATCAAGGTGCCTTGTTACTGTAAATAAAATGACCAGAAAAAATACCTTTTTCTCTATAGATATAGAGCTGTAACTTTTTGTGTTATATTTCCACTAAAGAGGAAGGTAGTAACCAGTATTATTTATTGAAATTAGAAGAATAAGTAAGTTTATCCAGAAAACAAGAGGCAATTCAGAAAAGACAATTTTTTGTCAGTCAAGTCATCTTCAGAGACTGTACCATTGTAAGTAACCATGTCTTAGTAAAACACATTTTGAAAGAATTTAAATTCTATACCCTTAGAGGTTAAAAGTACCTTTAAGAAAGGTAGCTGCCAGCAGCTTTATTAAAAAAGTACTGTATTATTACTGAAATTCAACTGTATCTGATTCCTTTGAATGACTAAAAATTTCCTAACTCTAGTATATTGACAGCGCTAACCAATTGGTTTTCTTTCCTTTTCCGATTATTACAAATCTCGTGCATTTGACTAATGCCGAATAGAAGTAGAAAAGTTAAACGTGTCGGTAATCATTTTCACACTTCACTGTCTGGCTTAAAGGAGGCCGTCAAGAAAATGTGTAGCACATGATGTGGAACAGAATTTGACCTGTGTATTACCACGCTGAACTACAAACGAAAACAAATTAAGTAAAAATAGCCACTGTTTATTGAATTTTAAATATATATGGTAGCAGAGATTCATCACTTCCTCCCATCAGTGATTACCTTGAATCATACAATCTAACTATCGCATTATGCTACCTGATAAAAGTTGCACTTAGTAATTTGCGGACTTCCCTTCATCCAATCACTGTTTGATCATCTAGGTCATCAATAGATATCAGTGTACAACAATTTAGTGCATAATGTTTTGCGTTACACGTGATGAAACAACCTAACCTTCAGTTTAATTCACTTTGAAACTCAGTGTCAATGTTCATGTGTGTAAGCTCATAAAAGTTCAACTGTTTTTCAAATGGAATGCAAAACTTGCCCTCAGTTTAAGTTATCCATGGATTTCCAGTTTTGCCGCTGATAAATGAAACGGAGTTCAATGTTTAAAAGTTTTCATTTGATCTTCTTCTCTTCAGATTCAGAAGAAGAAGAAGAATAACTTCATTCTAAAGATGTGTGTAGGACTTATTTACAACTGAGTGCAGATTGTTCACAACCAGTCCTAGAAACACGTAAGGTGGTTTCTGAAACTTCATTCATCATTCCATCATAGCCAGCTTATACCTTCAGCATTAAAATTACCTGTAAATTTTTTTCTTAACCGATTCTATGAGTTGTACTCGATTTGTTTGAACTTGTGTGAACCTCGCCTAGTTAACTAGCTTGTTAGTTTCCTAGCCGTCATAAGCTCGGATGAAGAGGGAGGGTTGGCAGTGAGGCTAGCAACCCCACACCACTAAACCTATCAAACCGCTGGAGGAAAATCAACGCACAGAAAATATATTCAAAATAGAAAAAATATAGAAAACCAATCTTATTCTTCACTGGAATGGGAAAGGTGAAATGACACAACGGGATGGCTGGTGAACGCCCGACTTCATGAAGCCAGTCAGCCAACCGATGTGTCTTCCACCGATGAAAGCAAGAATAAAAATGCAAACGTGGAATGTACGTACAATGTACGAGGCTGGATGGGAAGGCTGCCCAGTTAGTTAGAGAGATGAGAAGATATGGTATAGAAGTGGTGGGAATCTGTGATGGCAGATGAAATGCATGTGGACTGTCAAAATTGTCAACTGGTGAGTGAGTAATCTACGCCGGTCACTCACTCAGATGACAACCACCAGCACACTGGGGCAGTTAGTGGTCATCATGATGTCACCAGTGGTAGACAAAGCCCTAATGCGGTGGAAACCAATTTCCACTTGCAGGATCATGACTCGAAGATTCAACTGAAAAGGGGGTAGGGAGTGAGGGAATTAATTGAGGAAAGAAGGAAGTAATGAAAGAAGGAAGGTTACAATCGTACAATGCTGCACACAGTGCTACAAACAACTCGGAATGAGAGGAGAGAAAAGATTTCTCCGGACAAATGTAAACAGAACTCATCATGGGTCGACAGTCTCTCGTTCGGTGAAATGAATGGGAACGGAAAACTCTTCACAGACTTCTGCTCTTTCAGTGATCTGATGATCGGAGACAGCGAGTACAAGCACAAGGATATACACAAGGCCAGTGACATGAATGTCGCCTGACGGACACACCACAAACCAGATAGATTTCATCTCTATGCTGCTTAAGGATATGGTAACGAAGCCAGGCTGCTGGACACAAAGTCGAGAAGGGTAGCAGATGTGGACTCAGACCATCATCTAGTTCAAGGAACCTTCAAGGTGAATCTGAAATCCATGAGAAAAAATGGAGACAGGCCAGTGTAATTCAAGTTCAACATTCAGAAACTGAAGGACAAAGCTACAAGGGATGCCTTCACTACAGATCAAATCAGATCAGGTCAGAGCAAGGTGGGAGACACTACGTGGTATGGCTGAGGAAACCTGTGTGGAAGAACATTCAAATTCCCTGAAAGTGATATTTTGGGGAACGTGTAGAACCATGTTAGGAAGAAAGAAGAGACAAGACAGGGAATGGCTGTCAATGGGCATCTACCTGGAAGCTAATAGAAGAGAGGAGAGGAGGATGGTGAAAGAGATGACTCAATGCAAAGATGGACAACAGAAGGAGAAACTGAGTGAACAGCAGTGTGCACTGCACTGAATAAAGAGGAGAAGAATAGTGCTATGAAGGACAAAAGACAATTCTACGACACACTAGATCGCTGCAACTAAAGCAGCGACGGGAGGCAGACAACAGGGTAGAGAGAGCTAAGGACATCATATCAGATAACCAGGTCACTCGCTATCCGGTAAGAGATCAACCCAGATGATGAAACCCATGAAAGCTGCTGAAGGGAACCTGATTACCAAGGAGGAGAAACAAATAAAACAATGAACTGACCACTTCAAAGGACTCTTGATTTGACCATCACCTGCAACTCGCACAGAAATACACCAGCATTAACAGCACGTAGAGAACTGTCTGACAGTGGGCACCAATCCTCGAACGCATGCGGAAATCTTGAATGCGATCGACCTACTAACGTCCAGTAGGAAAGGTAGCAAGGCCAGACGGACACTGGACGCCCTGAATCACTGGAGACGAGACCGCAGACTGAGGCAGATGTGCTCACTCCATTATTGTGAAAGGTTTGGAAATGAGGAAAGTTACCTATGGATTGAAAGAAAGACTAGCTACCTCGTCAAGCTACCAAAGATGGGATACTTAGACCTCACTC